ACCAGGCCAAGGATGACGGTACCACGCCGCTGTACATCGCGTGCCAGAACAACCACCTCGAGATCGCCCGGCTGCTCCTCGAGGCTAGCGCGGCGGTCAACCAAGCCACGCCGCTGTTCGTCAACCTGAACAGTGGCGCCACGCCGCTGTTCGTCGCGTGCCACTTCGGCCACCTCGAGGTCGCCAAGCTCCTCTCCTCCTACGGCGCCTCCCGCGCCGCTACGCCCTTTGGCACGCCCAAGGAGGCTGCAAACCGCGAAGGCCACGCCGACCTCGCCGCCTGGCTGGTCGCCAGCCGCGGCTGGACGCCGCTCCAGCATCTCGAGGCGTGCCCGAGACTAGCGGCCGAAGGCGTGAGCGCGTTGTCCTCACGCCCATTGCCCCTCTTCCGCAGGCGCTCACCGTCGAGCGGGCGCGGGCGCTGCTGCGCGGCGGCGCGGACTCTTCAGCCGGCGAGCCTTCTGCCCTCGAGCGGGCGCGCGTCCTCTGCTCGTGGGGCGAGTCGGATCCGACCGTTGCGGCCGTCGGCTCCACCGTCGCGATCCACTCTCTCGTCTCGCGGCCCTCGATGAACGGCAAGGTCGGCGTCGTCGTCTCCGCGAGCGCTTCGACGTGCCGCTTCGGCGTGCGCGTGACGGGCGAGGCCAAGGCCCTCGCACTGAGGCGCGCTATGCAATGGTCTCTCCCCGACTCGCCGGATCCTCTCTTTGACACACCTCTGCCCTCCCTCAGGCCGGCCAACCTGGAGCCAGCGGCCGAGGCGGTGGAGGCGGGCAGGCTGGTCCTCAAGGCGGCGGAGTGGTCGCCGCAGTCGCACGAGCTCTTCCCGGAGGCGGCTCGCAAGCGGGCGGTCGAGGTGATGCGGCTGGGCTACCTGATCGCTTGGGACGAGGAGCGCTTTGACAGCCGCGAGGGAGCGGCTCCAGAGCTGGCGGACATCTGGCGCGGCTTTGTGCTGCCAAGGGTGGTGGTGCGATGAGGCCACACACACACACACACACACACACACACACACACACACGCACGCACACACACACACACACACACACACACACACACACACACACACACACACACGGGGCGCGCGAATTGTTTTGAATCTAAAAAATCGCGGGCGGGAAAAAACACGCGGCGCCGAATCTCGAGCTGTCGCGTGTGTCGGATACGGCTTTACGATCCCGGATGCCGGATCCGCGTTCGCGCCAAGGCCTCCACACTCCACACACCACAGCCAGTCCGAGCCAGCCGCAACTTGTGTGACGGGCATTATAGATGACCGCGGGTACTTCTACAGTCTCAGAGCCGGACGGGCCCTCACCGTCCTCATCCCCTCCCCAGGCCCCTCCCCCTCAGGCTAGGCCCTCGCCACCGCCGCTGCCGCCGTCTCCGCGGTCAGGCCTCGCCCCGGCCGAGTTCCGCCCGCCTCCGGCTCCTCCGTCGCCCGAGCGCATCTGGCGCACTAAACCCGTGCGGGGCTGCACCGCGGCCACGATGGCCCGCGTTAGCGCTTCGCTGCGCCTCTTGGCTTGAGTCAGGCTTCGGGCCCCTGGCCTTAATCGCTCGCGCGCGGGGCCGGGGGTGTGCCTGCTTGGCTCAAGCCAAACAACAACAAACACTTATGGCTCTCTGATGCCCAATGCGTGCACTCGTCCCTCTCTGTATGTGTGGGTTCGTGTGTGCGGGGGCCCTCCTTGTCTGTTGTCTCTGCCTCTAGAGACAGTGATCAGTGTGAGCTGTGAGGTATAAGCACCTATACCTCTCTGGGGGGGCGCGGGGGCCCCCGGAGGCACCGTGCGCCGCGCAGCAGTGCGGAAACGGGGCTCCGGCGCTCAGAGTCGCTCAGAGCACCAACTTCCCGATCTAACCCGGTCTAACAGAGGGCAGATTTGGAGAGATCTCGAGGAGTACATACAGATAGACCCTCCAACCATCAGAAACCTCCAACCTGATCGGTCGTACTGACCGCCGACAGATCACTCCAGACAGCAGACAGGCCGACGTCTGCACGCGGCCGGCCGGGCGAGAGGCTTGACACGATCCGACCCTGCGACCCTGATGCTGCTGCTCTAGCTATGAGACATGCATTGCTGACTGCTGCCACAATGTGCGACCTGTGCTGGCCCACTTGGCGGCCTTCCCGGTCAGTGGTGAGGCGCAGTTCAGAGCTGTCGATGGCGCGATGCCGCACTGGTCCCACATCGGTGACACGAGACCACCACGTTTGCCGGTCCAAGAGAGAGGCACCGGCGCTGTCCTGAGAAGGTGCATGGTCCCTCTTGACTGCCCATGCGCGCGAGGCCGTGTAGGCATAGCCTCGAGAGTGCCAGCAGCCAATCCGAGGCAGTCTGTGACGCGCATTGCGTCAGAAGCGTGCACGCGCTGGAAGGACACCTTCCTACTGGCCGTACGATCAGGTCGTCACTGAATGCCGAAGACTAAGGCCGCGAGCTATGCAGGCGGTCAGTTGAGCAGCATGGCACGGTCAGCAGCGCCGAAAGGATGTCGCAAGGCGTGATAGCATGGCCGCAAGTACGCCGAATTCCCATGAAAACAAGTAAAAAATCGCGCGAAAAAAGAAAAATGCCAAAAAATCGGCGTCTGCGGCGGGCTGGGGGACCCCATCTCCCCCCCGCATGGGTACCCCCTAGGGCCCTCGCCTCCCCCCAGAGCTATACCTACCGTTAACGACGTTTGACGAGACAGCTCTCTACTGGAGTACTGCGCGGCCCGGGGCCCGGCACACACGCATAAATCAGCAACTGAAAATGTCAATCGTCAATTTTGACACAGACGAGCACTCAAAATAAATTACACCACTCCGGCCTCTGCAGCAGCTGGTTGCTCCGGCTCCGAGTCCTCGATTGGCCGCGCCACAGTGCCATGCACCAGCGGCAGATCGAGGCGGCTCGGGCCGCCGCACGCGACCGACACGCGCAGCGCCGGGTCCTCGCTCGCGGGCAGGAAGCCCGGGTCGAAGAGGGTGAGCCCGAGACCGAGGAAGTGGCCCTGCGGACACGTCCAGGACTTGTGACGGACGTGTCCCGGCCTCGTCGTGCGGCGTCTGCCTCGAAGAGAGGTGCTGCAGCGACCGTTGGAGGCGTGCCGCTTGTCTACGCGCGCATGCTATGTGTGCGCGCATGCGTGGGTGGAGAGGTGGGTGGGGAGGTGCGTGCGTGGATGAGTGGGTGGACGGGTGGGTGGAGATGCGGTGTGAGCACCTGCGGCACGTCGACGCACAGCGCGCGCATCCGCACGTCGAACGGCGCGTCAGGCCCGTCCCAACCCACGTGGGACTTTGCCGGGTCGGTGAGGCTCGGCCTGCCGACGTTG